AGCTCTATTTTTTCCCCACATACCTTGATATTTCTCATGCGACTCTCTCTAGCTATTCTTGCTCCCCCCCCCCCCCCCTCTCTCTCCCAAAAAAACACACACACACACACACACACACACACACACACACAACCACGGGCACGGGAAGAGTTCAAGACAACTTCTCTTGTTTAAGCTTTGTTCATGAGAACATCATTCTTCACACTACCACCAGTCTGACACTTCTTCACCTGACCACAACCCAATCCTCCCTCAACAAAAATATAAAAAAATGAGGTATGAAAAGCTGTTTTGATAATGCAATTTCAGCAACATAAAATTGTCAACTCAAAAAAAAATTCCACATAGAAAACATTATGGCCAAAGCAATGAGCTGACATTAGAAATTGGCAGCATTGCACATTTCCTCTTTCTCTGTCTCTCTCACACACACACATACACAGACACACACACACACTTACACTCAAAACATATCTAAAAAAGATCCACAAAGCTGGAAAGTTCAAACACTACTGTTATTACTATTATGCACACCACATGAAATTGTCAAAGGAAAACAACAAACTGACAAAAGACTGCGCTGGCTAAAATCAGCGTTGGAGATGGACACCGAGGAAAGAAAGAGAACATGGGGAATGGCAGTTCTGGGAATAATATGTGGACCGTCTGGGAAACAGCCCAAACACAACTATTGACAAATGTCAACACTTGTCAGCCCACACCACCACACAGCCAACAGATATTACCGACTGACAAAAAACTAATGTGACTGACAATTCAGTATCTGCTGGACAGTTGACAAATCGCTACCTTAGAATTACAAAGTTGTATCTGACATTTTTGGCTGTTTTGAGTTACTAAGACCATGAGGTCAGAAACCAAATGTTCTATCTGCTCTATCAAAATCGTAAGAGTATTCTAAGTGGTTATCAAGATATTCAAAGAATTGCATTCGAAAAAGCTTGACATGTTGTGAACCTCACAATTTAGAACGTCAATTTCTCTAAACTAGATACTAAGCTGATAAAACTTTGTAATTCTGAGATAGCAAAGTGTAACTGACAATCTGTACCTGCTGGACAGCCAGACCAACATGCCAGTCACACGATCAGCCAAACATAATGAACAGGACATACAACCCAGGAGAAACTAAACATTGGAATTCAACTCACAGCATGATCCCTGATACTACTGGCAGCACTGACAGGCTGGGGATCTGTACCCGAAGCACCCTGACCAAGCTTCCATCCCCCGGACAAAGCAGCCGTTGCTATACGATCAGGTGTCAGCAAATATTTGCTCCAGAAATATTACAAAGTGTACAGCACCTCTCTCAGTGTGACCAACGAAAGTAATGAAGAAGACACACACATTTACAATCTCGTGGTTGTAGAGCTGCACGCACCCACGAACAAACATACACGAAGAGTCCGATACACGCATATACTAGCAGGATCCCATGACAGCACATACTATACAGACAAGATACTAATAAACAGCGCTAGCTTTTCGTTTGTGTACTGCGTCTTGAGTATATAGAGAAATGGCAGTGGCAGTTACAGCGACCGTGCAGAGGGGGAGCAGAAATTGTGATGAGAGGAACAAATGCCCATCCCGTTTACTTTGTTTACACTGTTAACACAAGAGACAAACATAAAGACTTTCACTTCGTTTACATTGTAAACACAAGAGACAAACATAAAGACTTTCACTTCATTTACATTGTAAACACAAGAGACAAACATAAAGACTTTCACTTCATTTACACTGTTAACACATGAGACAAACATAAAGACTTTCACTTCGTTTACATTGTAAACACAAGAGACAAACATAAAGACTTTCACTTCGTTTACACTGTAAACACAAGAGACAAACATAAAGACTTTCACTTCATTTACATTGTAAACACAAGAGACAAACATAAAGACTTTCACTTCATTTACACTGTTAACACATGAGACAAACATAAAGACTTTCACTTCGTTTACATTGTAAACACAAGAGACAAACATAAAGACTTTCACTTCGTTTACACTGTAAACACAAGAGACAAACATAAAGACTTTCACTTCATTTACATTGTAAACACAAGAGACAAACATAAAGACTTTCACTTTGTTTACATTGTAAACACAAGAGACAAACATAAAGATTTTCACTTTGTTCACATTGTTAACACGTAGGACAAATGTAAAGACTTTCACTTTGTTTACATTGTTACCACACAAGACAAACGTAAACCGTTCACTTTGTCACATCATTACTGCACAAGACCAACTTAAGGTGTTCATTTCATCTACATTGTTAAAACCAGTCAATGGTCGGGGGTGCTCCCTTCTCTCGCCAGCATTGCTGCACAATCTTCCACAAACCGCTCACTTCCTCATTCAAATCATTACACTATACACACATACAAAGCTAGAGCATGAAAACACACAAATATCACACATATACAAACACACCATTGACAAATCCCATATTCAGACACAATATGATATATCATAAACCATTTTTGATTGACTGACATTAAAAAAACACAAAAAAAACAAGCACTGTTACCATTATTCAGTATTATGTCACAGACCCTCACGAGATGACAGGTCACTATTATATCGCACAACTAGGAGCCCAATGACAGAGCAGATACACACACCACGAGACTAAGTGGATGACTGTGTAGAGCATTCTGGAACTTTACACATATCGAAGCAACACACAGCATGGAAAGAGTGACACCGACGACCATCTGGATGCTTTTGTAGAACATTCTGGAACTTTCAACTCAAAGCAATGCAGTATGGAGGGAAACACAAACGACCATGCGGATGCTTCAGTAGAACATTCTGGAACCTTGCGTTTCGAGCACCACACAGTAAGGAAAGACCAAATCCTGTCTGTGGATATGTCATTCTCCATGAAGATTACCCGAGTCTCATGTGAATAAGAAGATCCAGTAACTTGGATGCTATCAGACAGACCAGCTTCACACTTACATTCCTCTATAGTTCCAAGAGGAACAGTCCAGCCACAGATCGACCACAAAGATGGCGCAAATCTCAAAAGTCTTCTCCTCACACCTACTGGGACTAACAGCATCTCCAAACTTGCTTTGACAATGAAGGAATGATGAAGATCCTAGGCAAATCCTCTAAGGAAATCTCCCTCTTTCTCTCCTTTTCTGTCATTCCTCTCCCTCTCTCTAGAGTGTTTCTCTCCATATCACTCTTCATTCCCCCGCCCCCTCCCTCACTATTATTATTCTCCCAAGAAAAAGTTCCAGTATGAGAGTGAAAGAGAAAGCATTAAAAGACTAGAGAGAGAGAAAGAAAGAGATAGAGAGAGAGAAAGAAAGATGGAGAGAGAAAAAAGCACTAAATGGAGAAGAGAGGGGAAAGGGGGAGAGGAAAAGAAGGCGTAAGAGAAAAATCATTTAAAGAGAAAAAAAAACAGTGAGAGAAAGTAGCGAGAGATGAGAAGCGAGAAAGAGAAGGAAAAAAAAAGAGAGTGGCAGAAAGAGAAAGAAAGGGAGAGAGAGAGTCTCTGAGAGAGACAGAAAGAGAGGTGAGAGATCTATCCTCAATCCTTGGGCTCCTTCTTGTTGGAGGCGACGTCCCTGATGGAGCTCAGAGTCTTCTGGAACCAGGTGTTCTTGTTGGCCGAGATCTCTGAGACGGCGGCGCTCAGCTGGTGGGTCAGGTCCTGGGTCTTGCACTCCGACTCCACCAGCGCCAGTTTGGTCTGTGCCAGCTCTAGCTCCAGCTCGCGGATCTGTGCACAGCACATTGATATTTAGGTACAGTAGGGGGCATAAATGATATTTAGGTACGGAAGGGGGATCAATGATATTTAGGTACGGAAGGGAGGATCAATGATATTTAGGTACGGTAGGGGGGATCAATGATATTTAGGTATGGAAGGGGGGAGCGGGGATGATGATGATGATGGGGGGGGGGGGGCATTGTAACATCTTTCTCAGGTGATAATAATTCTAAGCTATTACTGCTTCCCGACAATCTTTCAAAAAAACATTTGCTATTTTGTTTCAACTACTTCCCTTAAGTACACGTACTCACATACATACACACATAATAAACTGATTGGTGTTTTCTCTTTCAGTGTCAGGTCTGCTCTGCTGTCCTACTTAGGGCCTGAGACCATCATCATGGCAGAAGTAGTGAAGGGGTTAACAATATATTGCACCCTCCCTGTTCTGATTATACAACATTCATCATTCATGTGTGGATTGGAGAACAGCAAAAAAAAAAATAGATAAAGTAGATTTGAATAAGATGCAACATCCTATTTCCCAAAGCTGCTGTAAAGAACCCACAATCATCGAAGCCCAAGTCTAAAACCTTTACCCACCCAAACTACGACAAAGCCAGGCCTCAGGTTCCAAACATAAATATGTATACAATAAGGTGTACACTGCTGTAAGATGACGAAATGCCTCTTTTCATTTTTGGCGTCAAATGTTTTAATTTGCTAAATCAATAGCCTGATTGGTTACCCCACTAGTGTGAAAAAATCAAAGTCAAACTGTGACCAGTTTTTTAATCAATTAGAATTCAAATTTCGGAAGAATTTTTTCAAAATGGTTTAGCTTACAAAAAGCCCCTGTATCTCAAAACTGCTGTGAATAAAAGGTATTTTGTCAGCTAACGGCACTACAGGCCTTGATGCTAGGGCTTCCATCTGTGTGCTTGTACAGCACAGTCCCCCCACTCAGGTGTACCCGACTCTGTACAACTCACCTGTTTCTGCAGCTCTGTGACGTCCGGGTCCTCCTCCTTCTCCTTCATGTTGTCCAGCGGTCGGATCTTGTCCCCGTCAAACACGGAGCAGCACTTCTCACACGACTTCACCTGGCACTGAGGACAACACAACCACAATACTGCATAACATTTCGCTGTCTCAGAATTACAAAGTTCTATCTGCTCAGCATCTATTTTTTGAGAAATTTGACGCAGAAAATTTTGAGTTTCCAACATGTCAAGCTTTTCAAATCCGATTCCTTGAATATCTTGATAATGACTCCGCTATGACTTCGATAGAGCAGATAGAACATTTGTTTTCTGACCTCATGGTTTTGATAACTCAAAACAGTTACAGTCAAAAATATCAGATAGAATTTTTAATTTTAACGTAGCGATTTGTATAGTGCAAATTCCTGTCATCAGCAAGCTACATGTACTTTACAGTTTATATTATTTCCCCAGCAAACCTGATAGCATTCTGAAACAATCACTTCCTAGGAAACATGGAATGCAGAAAACCATTTTACAGACGCAAAAGCGCTAACATATTGACAAAATCTTTCACTGTCTATGGTCGGGTACCCATTCACACCTGCGTGAAGTAAGGAAAATTCATGTAAAGTGCCATTCCCAAGGACACATCGGCCTGAGCCTCAAACCCTTTTTAAACCACCCTCCCCCTCCTCCTACTCCTAGGCCAAGTTAAGAGACCAGACCTCACCCTGATCTTCTGCAACTCTTCCTTGTAGGATGTCTGTTGCTTTTCCAGTCTCTCACTCAGCTGGGTGCAGATCTGGGGAGTACACAACAGTTACATAGGTACAAGTCATGCAACTGGTCCAGGACCGGGGGTAGGGGAGGGATGTGTGTGATTGTGTGTGTGTGTGTGTGTGTGAGTGTGTGTGTGGTGTGTTACCAGCGACTGTGGGACACAAAGGTACAGGTCAATCAACTGGCCAAGTGGCGAAGAGTTGGACGGGGGGGGGGTTGTTTGTTACCAATGACAAAGAGGAGAGTGCAACTCAGATGACATCGTATAGCCATTGTTAATTTCTATTTTGTTCTCGTTCAACGTTCAGTGATCATTGACTCAATACCCCTAACTCATAAATTTCAGTGGTCATGTTCCACTGAAAACACTTTCAGTGCTTGAGGCAGTGGTGGTAATTCTTTATAGCCCACATAGGATTTTTTGCTGGGATTAGCTTACAGACCTAGTCCCAGGCAAACATGTACATATTAATAGTAACCATACATTAATATAATTTCTTAGAGTGCCTTCCTAGCGCTCCAAGTAGCTCCAAGCAGCACATACGGGTAGGGGACAGGCAGGGAGAGAGAGAGTGTGTGGCTGGGGAGAGAAGGGGTGAGGTGGGGGGTGGTGGGAGAGAAGGAAGAGGGACGATGAGAAACATAGAGAAAACAACATAATGGTACTAGCTGCTTGTGTGCATGTGCTGCTTTATATGTATTTTTTTAAAAACCCCAAAACACACCTGTTTGTAGTCTGCGATGATGGCCGAGTTGCGCGTGGACTCACTCTCTGCACGCTCCAGCTCCCGACGACACATTTCCTTCAGCTGCAAAAGGGGAACAGTATATTGTCAGTTCAGTTTTAAAACGGGATTTGTTTTTTTCAACTAAAGAGAAGCATTTAGTTACAATAACAGTCATTTAGCGAAGGGGGAAAGCCAGCTGGACAGACAGACAAATCAAAAAGAGGAAGTAAAAAAGAAAAGAACGGAGCAGTGGCACACCCCAACCACCTGCTCAAATTGGGAGTCGATTTGTCTGTGTGTGTGTGTGTATGTGTGTGTGTGTCTGTGTGTGCGTGTGTGTGTCTGGGTGCATGTGTTGGGGGCTAGGGGAATTCGCAAAAGATAGGTCCGACACTTCCTTGACGACTTTGACATTGACAAAAAACTCATTAAAATAAATAGTTTAGACAAAAATTATTTATTTTCTCATTCTAACGTACCTATGCACATGTAAAAACACATACAAAGCTAAACAGAACACTACTGTTCTCACTGAAAGAAACACACACACCACACACACATACATACAAACATATGTAAACAAAGAAATGCAAAGACTCAAGCAACAACTATCCTTATGTCATAATCTCTCTTTCTCCCTCTTCTCCTTCTCTCAATCTCTCTCTTTTAACTCTTACAACTCCCCTCTACCCATCACTCTCTCTTCCTCTTTTATATACAAATACAGACACATAGTATAACCACACACACACACAGAGCGAGTACAGTACAATGTCACCTTAGTTTTACAAGATACCGTCCACCCTTTTCTTCAAATTTTCCGTCTCCTTCAACATCTCTCTCCTTCCCTCCCTCACACACACAAAATAACAGTCACCTGTTTAGTCGTAATAAGAGTTTTACAACACTTGCAACACAATAAGGTCATATAGGTGCAGAAGATTAGAGAAGATACAAGAGAGTAACAAACAAAAAAGACAAAAAAACAGGAGGGGAGAAAAGACAATAGATGTTTGATAAGAAAGAAGGAGCAAACCACACCAGAGCACCCGCCAACCGCCCATGTCAGTCACCTGTTTGGACTCGGCGTCCAGCCTTTTCTTCTCGTCCTCCGTCTCCTTCAACAACTTGCTAGTCTGGGTGTAGTCTCTGTCCAGCAGGGTGCACTTGTCCTCCAGCTGTCACATGGACACACGTACACACACACACACACAAACACACAAAGACAGATACAAAAGAGAAACAAAAATGAGTCAGAGCTTGTACCCAAACAACTGGGTAGGAGGAAACCCCCTGTAGTCCTAGAAAATAACGGTAACTGAAAAAAAACCTGTTTCATGCCTAACAGAATCTAGATCAATAACAACATCCTAACGAAGATATTTCCGCTCATGGGATGATAATAAATAAATAGCATTTGCAAATTGCAAATTCCTGCTCTGTGGAATGCTCTATAAACTTTACTGTCTAAATCCTTACCCCTGAAGACCTGAGAGTATTCTGAAACAATCTCGGTTTCCAGAGAAGCATAAAGTGCAACCTGAGATTTTACAGGCACTAAAACAAAAACACACTGATTAGATCTTTTGTTGTCTATTGCCGGATAAGTATTCGCACCTGGGTGAAATGAGGAAAATTTGTGTAAAAAGCCTTTTCAAAGGGCTGAGCCTCAAACCCCTGAACCCCCAACTTCACGATTTTGAGTCCAGTGGCCTATTCACTAGATTACCAACACCACATCAGTAGAGTAGAAGTACATCAGGTACAGAAAATAATCTGTATTCTCTCGGCAGGCCATTATAGTGTGTGTCTCCACATTATTTAAGGTCAATCCCATCGGCTGATAGTGTTTAGAAACATATGCTATTAAGATCGGGCGTTTGAAATGTTGAAAATAAAGAAAAACTCATGACAAATCTATTTATTTTCAGGGTACTTTGTGAGTCTACTATACATTCCAAAAGCTCACATGATAAGATTATTTTCCTGCCACTTTCTTTGCAACACTTAAACATTTTTTAAAAACGGTTCTCCTGACACATTTACCATTCACGACAGACAAAGAGACACAATGTCTGCTGCTCACCGTGTCGATCTGGCTGCGCAGGTAGAGCTTGCTGTCCACCAGCTCGTGGGCCAGGTCATCGTTCTCCTGCTCCAGACGCATGTTGGCCTCGATCAGACGCTTGTTCTCCCGCTGTGTGCAAAAAAGAGTAGGAATAGTTGTGTGTGTGTGTGTGTATGTGTGGTGGAGAAGGGAATGCAGGCAGGACATTTAGTTTAAGTGTGTTTGTTTTATGTTTTTGTAAAAGTTTAAAGGCACTTGCACTAAAATTAAGTTATATAAGTGCCGAAGATTGGAGGTGTTACAAGAGAGTAACTAATACAAAAAGAAAGAGGAAAGATAAGGACGACAGATGTTGATAGGAAAGAGAGGAAGTCTGCAGTCATTATTGGGACCTCTATGCAGAGCTGCAGACTCTGGAACAAGTACAGCTCCGGGCTGAACGCCAATCAACCCCTGGATTCAGATAGGAACGGAGGCGACTGGGTTTTTGTCCGGGGGCTCGGCGGAATGCACGAGGCCCGCTTATGGAGAACAACATGAAACTGGACCTGGATGTACTCTGGACGAAGCCACACGAGGTTGCCTGTCTACCTGCGACAGACTGCCACCCTCCTAACGGAGGCCAGCCAGAGGAAGAAAGAAAAGGAAGGAAAAAAGAGGAAGTGAAAGAGACAAATATGGATACAGAGACATTGAGACAGACAAAGAGAAATGGCGACACACATCAAGGGAGGGAGGGAGGGAAAGAGAAGGAGAGTGTCCTCACCTCAAACCTCTCAATGGGATCCTCCTCCTGCATGTTCTGCTCCTGAATCGTCTGATATTCCTTCTCGTACTTCTTCAGCTTGCGGTTGTTAACCTGGGACAAGTAGGTGTGGTGTGAAGGGAGGAAAAAAAAACAAATTTTAATTTCAGTAAAGAGTTTTAAGGCACTTACAACACAATAAAGTACAAAATACAACAAAAAGGAGGAAGTATAAAGACGATAGATGTTTGATAGGAAAGAAAGAGCAAACCCCACTAGAGCACCCATCAGCCACCCACAAAAAAACAAGAAGCAACATGTTCATATAGACAGGCACAGACTGATAAACACACCTTTTATACTCTAGTTCCTCAGCAACTAGAGGGTGTAGTTTGAGAAGGGGGAAGTTCACATAAGAAAGTTGTAACAATTGAACACACTTTTTCTAAACTAGTTCACCTTTCAGGCAACAAATTCTCCCAGAACCTTTCAGCATGTCGACAACATTACATAGCAGAGAGTGACAAAACAGGCCGACAAAAAGTCAGGGACGTAAAAAACAAACTTTAGCTTTTGTAAGAATTTTACGGCACTTACAACACAATAGGGCCAAACAAATACAAGTGCTGAAGATTAGAGGCGCATCAGGTCTCCCCCTTTCCCCCCACCCCTCATCTTCTTCTCTAATTTCGCATCTTCCCTTCCCTTCTCCCCCCCCCCCTCTTCCTACTGTTTCACCTTTCCCCACTCACCTTCATGCTGATGGCAAGCCTCATAAGCTCCTTGGCCGATTCCTCCCCTCGGTACTTCTTGGGAAGGTGGACCCGGAAGTACTTGAGAACACCTTCAAAGTCGTGCGCCAGAAGTTCTTTTCTTGACGACTGCACACAGGAAGACACACACAAGGAAAGAAAAGAAACATGGTGAGAGAGAAATTTAAGTTCCATGCGAGTACAGAAAAGCACTTTTACAAACCTTACATAATAATGGTCATTTACAGCTAAAAAAAAAAAAGCAACCGGTGGTGAGTAAAAAAGGATCTATTGGTGGCATCCTCCAGCCCTCACAAGGAGAGAAAAAGACTTCAATATCTTAAAACTGAAGTATTTTCAACAATGACTCAAAAGCAGTCATAGAATCTCTGAACCATCTTGAATTTGCTGACTGCACGAAAGCTGACCATGAATAAAGGCTTAAAAATTTTATTTTTACAATAAACTTTGCCTAGCAACAGCTTTTTTTTTTTTCACTATGGATTTTTTAAAAACCCTCGATGAAAGCTACAACAGCACATGGTGTATGGGAAACTAGCCAGTGACATGCCTAAAGTTAAGAGTCATCGCAGACAAAAATTGGTATCGGCCAACTGACCCACTCACCTTGAGCAGAGCTAGTGCCACGCAGAAGATGATCATGTGACCCTATGGAAACACAACAAAGATTCAATAATTAAAAATGAACAGATATGAAGCTGTTACATAAATCAATGACAATAACAGTAATTGCATTCACATATACATATCTATGTACTATAGCATGATCTTAGGCTTTACAACTATTAATCGCAGACCTCTAAGACAGATGCCCTCCCCCTCCCCCCAAAGGGCAGTGCTACTGACTGAAGTGTCTTTAGGCCATTCCCAAAGAGGGGATATTAACAGGTTCTTATGCAAAGTAGAATTGTAAATGGACAGATTAACTTCATGCCCATACTGTGCCGGAACACCAAGGGGGAACTGCTTTTTCTTTCCTCATCCTTACTATCATCATTTTTCCTCTACTTCATTTGTGTGTTTGTCACGCTCTTGTGAACTGTTATTTCAGGGGTGTCTTTATAGTCGAAGCAGACTTTGTGCAGTTGAGTCTAGAGAGGCGAGCAGGATAAGCCTAATTCCCCATTTGGACTTCTCTGTTGACATCCATCCCTTGGCGCTCATATAACCTTATGCAGTTGCGAGCGTTGTAAAACCTTACTAAAACTAAACTAAGACAGATGTAAGAACCCTTAACAGCCTCACCCTCTAACCACCCACATGTATACGAAAAGCTGTGTTGAGCATGCAGGGCGATGAAAGCAGGGAGACTTACCTCACTCAGGAACAGGTCCAGGATGCCAAACACGACGTGCAGGGGAAACTTTGCCGTGAAGAGAGTGAGGAACCACTGGGAGGCAAACATGTGGATCTCCAGACCCATCTCTGCAAAGTGGCTGTACAAGTCAGGCAGCTGGTCCTGGGGACAGACACATGGACGTACAGGTAGACCGAGAGACAGACACACACGCATAGACATACAGGTAGACTGAGATATGGACACACAGACCATACAGATAGACGGAATGACAGACACACACATACAGAATAAGGAGATCCATCTAGGCAAAGTAGCTCTACAGATCAGGCGGCTGGTCTTGGGGTTTAACAGACTGAAAGAGAAATAGACAAACCTACAGATAGACTGAAACACAGACAGGCAGATGTACAGTCAGCTGGAAAACACACACACAAACAAATGTGCAGAAAGACTGAAACAGACAGACAAAATGAGAAGAGCCAACTGTGCGAAGTATGTATGCAAGTCCAGCAGCTGGCAGACACACACACACACACACACTCACACACAGACATGCAGACCAAGAAATGTACACAGGTATCAGAAACAAGGAAGGAGAAAGAGAGAGACTGAGCTTGGAAATACAGCACTTCACTTCCTCTCCCCCACCCGACAAACCAGCATGAGCCCCCAGCCAACCCCAAAGGTCAGTTGTACCTGCATGAGTCTCTCCAGCTGGTAGAAGCGCAGGTGCAGCTCCAAAAAGCCCTGCTTGAACAGTTCCCGCAGCTGGTAGTCGTACATGATCTTCACCAGCACACAGAACGCCTGCTCCTCCGGCATCTGGGACAACAGCAGCACAGCAGGTCAAAATAGGCGACATTACGATTAGGTCAGAATAGGCAACAAAAGGTCAGTTTTTCTTTTTTAAGTTTAACACTTTGCCATCATATTTTGGGGAAAATCCAAAGAATCTCGGGAGTAAACATCGCCAATGGGTGAGATGAGGCGGCAAAGTGTTAAGTAGGAGTTTTATGACACTTACAACACAATAAGGTCATATTAGTGCAGAAGATTAGAGGGGTTACAAGAGATGTTTAGTGTTTTAGTTTTAGTAAGAGTTTTAAGGCATTTGCAATGCAATAAGGTCATAAAAATGCAGAGGATTAGAGGGGGTTACAGGAGATGTTTAGTTTTTCTTAGTAAGAGTTATACCGCACTTGCAACACAGTACGGTCATATAAGTGTCGAAGATCAGATAAAACATACTCAACATTAGTTTTATTCCCAGTACCCCCCCCCCCCCACACACACACACTTCCACAAAGTAAATACTTTAAACTACACAATATCATAAATTACTGTCGATCTTAGACACATAATTCCTTCTGATTTCTTCACACAGAAATCAAAACAAGATAATCTTTCTTCCCTGTACACGAAGTACCCTAGAGCCCTGACAGCCCCTGCATGGTAAACTCTTTATATAAGAGTATGAGATATCAGTAACGGTACTAAGCCAACTCACATGCAGCAGGAGAGCAGCAGCCAGGAAGGACAGCCCCTGCACGTAGCCGATCTCCTCATCGTACACAGAGTAAGCCTGAACACAGACATACATACATAAACATTACTCATGAAAAAGTGTAAAGGTCAATAGGCAAGAACACACAAACCAAACAACAGTTTAAAAAAACAACTACAGTTTACAAGTTTAAAGCAAAAAGACATTTGGAAAACTTTCAATAATGGAACAGGCAGGATTTCAAACAGGATTGTGTGGCTTACATTTCAGTAAACAGAAGTTATTCTACACAAAAACAGTCATTTAGTACAAAGTAACTGTAAGGCAGACGGACAGACAGAAACATTAAAGGGAAAGAAAAAAAGTAGAAATTATCACTGGTACCTTCTAATCACCCACATGGGACCATAAATCAACACAGTTATCATAAATTCATTGTGTATAGAGTTGAAAAAAAAAGAAGTTAACAATAACTGAACGTTTTTTTGCCAGTTGGATCAAATAAACAAAATGACACGCACAATTATGTGAAAAGAAGAAAATACAGTTGAGAATCCATGACAACTCCTCACAGGTGAACACCGCTTGACTGGTTTATGAAGCACAACCTCACCTTGCTAATTCTGTACAGTGAGTCTTGGCCTTGACCTCCAGCATCCTTGAAAAAGTCGTGGGCGGGGAATGTTCGGTTAATGTCTCTCTGAATCACAGCATCTGAGCTGGAGTCCTGTGGAGTGAGAAAAACATAACATCACCAAAGTGTACGATGATACCCTGGGAAACGATTCGCATTGTGAGGTACAGCCATCACACCACACACAACCAGACTCGGAGGCAAGTTACATGCTGCTAAATATAACCAACCATGATAAACGGTTTGTTCAGTGAGATACAAATTTTGTGTCACATAACACCCAGACGTCGGGAAAAGTCACAAATGGGTAATTGTTGACATGTCATTCTCTCATCCCCCCCCTCCCCCCTACTAAGAACACTTTCTCATTGAATAAAGACTGACAAGTCCTGCATGTCACAACAACCTGCCAGTAATTGGTGCACACATGCGCGCACACACACATAATTATGAACACACACACACATGACACAAGCACATACGGGTGCGTACACACCTACATAAACTGTTTCACACACATATCAAACAACCACCAACCTTTGTGATAAGCACACGGTAAGCCTCCAACAAGTTCTGCGTATCGTGACAGCCGGCCAGTAACTGCCACACCTCCCCTCGCAGCGCCTCCGGCACCGTCTTGCGAACCAGTCCCGTCACTTGGCGAGGTCGGGTGGCCAGGTTTTGATGCCAGCGGGTGAGCACCTCGGCCCATGCTTCCAAAAGGTTCTCATCAGTAACCTCTTTGCTCACCACACCTGAGCCGCTCAGCAGAGGCTCATCAACATCTGGGTAAGAGAAACCACAAACAAGTACGGTGAAAAACATTGGTTCAGTTCTTGAGCCTTGTTTGAGTGAAAGGATGCCCACTAACACAATAACAGTCATTTAGAACAGTGACAGCGCATGATCAACAGAAACAACCTAAGAAAATAAGTAAACAGAAGTAAAGAGCAGTACATTAACACAAAAGCCATCCCTTTAGCACTGGGGAAACGGCACAGCAATAGAAGGAAAGAAAAAAGTAAGAGCAACCAGTAACATTGCCTAGCCACCTTTAAGCCTTATAGGCACACATAAAAGTGTAATGAAAGTTGTACAACTCAATGGCCAGCAAGAACAAAAGGGATGGGGGAGAGAAAAAACTGTCTGAACATCTGCTGGACTCGCTGAACTGAGGAGCTAAAACTGATCTTAATGACAAAAGAAAAAAAAAAAAGGCAGATTCACCAAGTGTGAACTCAACAACCCCCCACCCCCCTCCTAAATGAAACACACACAAGAGAGCAGCAACCAAATATAATAGCCAAAAACTTCTGCAATTGATCCCGAAAAGAAAATCTTGAACTTTTCAGTCTTCATGGAAAAATGCAGGCGGGGATTAAAAAATTACAGATCATATTGTGTCTACCGCATCGTGTATCAATCCATTTTTTACATAAAGTGCAATTTTCAGAATTCTTCAAATTCAAACTAGTCCATAAAATTGACACCTTTGCAAACACGAACCACTTCCCCACGTCCACTCACCGGACTCTTCCTCCTCCTGCGGCGTCTTGATGGACTCAGGCGGGGCCCGGTTGGTCCCGCTCAGGTTCAAGGACAGGCCGTTAGTGCGGCGGTCAATTTCCGTCTGGCTCTCCACCTTGACAACCTCGTAGTACTTGATGCCGTCCCCGGCACCTTCCACCTGCAGGAACAAAAATTCTTTTGTTTGAGTAAAGAGAGTTTAGATAAGATACATCTTTAAGATAAGATACATCTTTTTTTGGCCCCCTCCTGCCCATCTAGCAGTAATGGATACCTGACTTCCGAGTTGGGGAAGTAAAGGCGGCGTGGGAAGGAACTGGCCATTCTACCACAATATGCCGAAGGCCCAGGAGGTTGTCTCACTAACAAGGCAATCCCAAATGTCCGGATCCTTATCGTCCAGATCCTGGCACATAGGTTTGGTGTACATGTACACACACCATGTACACACACACACACACATACACATGTACACACCCATATATACACACACTCTCTTTAGTTTTAGTAAGAGCTTTGCAGTACCTGCAACACAAATAGGTGATATAAGTGCCGAAGATTAGAGGTGTTACTAGAGAACAACATAAAAATAAAAGAAGGCTTTCAGATGAGGATGACATATGTTTGATGAGAAAGAAGGAGCAAATCACACCCCTTTCTTCTTCCCTAAATACAGCAAGCAGCACCCACCTGTTTGAGAGTAAGGTTGAACTGCTCACTGAAGCCCCGGCGACTCAGGTACCAGAAGCGCTCTGAACTCTGGAAGATTTTGGCCTTGGTCTCCAGAATAAACCGCACAGGCTCCTGGATGCCCAGCAGGACCAGGTCCACGGCAATGGTCAGAAACACGCGAGAGTCTGGGTGAAACAACAACGGTCATTGGTAAAAAGTTAAGTAAAAAAACTATAACAAAAACTGCAGAAACAACACAAAAGTCAAAATCCAGACCAGACTTCCTCAAATGTTTCTTTCACATACATAGTATATATATATA